ACCCAATGTTTGAGAGCATAAGGTCTCAAATTTTGGGAAGGGATGAATTGTCAGATTTACATCATGTCTATTATCTAGTAAGGAATGAAGAGGTTAGGAGGAAAGAGATGCAAGTTGACACTCAAACACAGCCAGCCGAACAGCCTGTTGAACATTCAGCCCTAATTTCTTCAAACCAAAAGGGGAGCAAGCATTCAGACAAGAGGCATCTTAAGTGCTCTCATTGTGGTGGTGAAAGGCATGTAAAAGAGACTTGTTGGGTTCTTATTCAAACAAGAGGCATCTTAAGTGCTCTCATTGTGGTGGTGAAAGGCATGTAAAAGAGACTTGTTGGGCTCTTTATCCTCATCTGAAACCAGCTACTTTAAGGAAAGACAGGAAACCCTAGAAGAATCAAACAGCAAGTGGGAATCATGTTACTAGCCACAATGGTGATAGCTCGAAGAACACATCTACAGTTGCATCTTCTCCCATGGGACAGACTGCTAATTTCCCCACATCCGAATCCTAGGGTTTCATTGCTAATGAGGTAGAGGTCCTTAACCGGGCCTTAACCCGTCTAAGGACTAATTCTCTTGCTTCCACCTCTCTTGCCAAATCAGGTATTGTCTCTGCTTATAGTACAACTAGTTCTATTGACTCTACTTCTTGGATTATTGATTCTGGTGCCATTGACCACATGACACACATGTCCTTTTTATTTTCTTCTTACCAATTGATGTCTGGCCAAGATAAGATGAGGGTTGCTGACAGTTCCCTCTCCACCATCTCGGGGAAAGGGGGAGTTGACCTAAGCAAGAACCTCTCTCTTAAATCTGTTCTACATGTTCCCAATCTTACTTCCAATCTCTTATCTGTTTCGAAGCTTACCAAGAATGTAAATTGTAGTGTAACTTTCTTTCCTACTCATTGTGTCTTTCAGGACAGATTGACGAAGAGAACGATTGGGAGCAGTCATGAGTGTGGAGGTCTCTACTATTTTGATGTAGACATAAGTTCGGCCTTACAATCATCTGCAACCAGTAGTCAGAATAATGTGGAGTCAATAGCTAGGTTACACTTGTCGCATGCTAGGTGTTGGAAAACGTGGGGTTACTAGTGCAGATCTATATTTGGTAGTTGTGTAAAAATAGAATTGTATATATTCCTAGGATTGTGGAAGGATTGATTTAGAAAGTTTTTCTTTCTATTCTTGTACTTTCTATTTTCTTTTCTTTCTATTTTTTCTTCTTTCTATTTATTGCAGCAGCTTACTGTATAAGTATGCCAATTGGCAATAGAATGAAATATATCAGTATTCTACCATTCCAAAACATGGTATCAGAGCTCTAGGTTTGTCAACCTTGAGATTTTTTTTGGCCCTCATTGCCAGTTTTTCGTGTTTTTCTCTTCTGACCTTCAGAAGTGTTCCTTTATTCTCCTTTATTCCGGCCAGTTCTTCCCTCCTTTATTCTCCTTTCCTGCTGGCCTTATTTTTCCTCCATTAACAATGGCCGACATGACTACAACAAGTGTTCCCGTCCAAACCGATGAAGGAGCAACRAATTCTCATCCTCACACTGGTGATTTGCAGAATATTCAGACAACATATAGACTGAATGGCCAAAACTACTTGAAGTGGTCACAACTAGTGCGTACCTATTTGAAGGGAAAAGGAAAA